ATACACACAAAAGTGGCCATTTGTAAACCTGCATTGCAAACACCTCACACCTATGGTCTCTCACCTTCATTATGTCATTTAACACCATGAACATGTGTAAACTTGCATAACAAATATTTCACTGCTATGGTCTCTCACCTTCACTTTGTCATTTAACACTATGAACATGTGTGAAACTTACATAATAAACATTTCACTGCTATGGTCTCTCACCTTCACTATGTCATTTAACTCTATGTACATGTGTGAAACTTACATAACAAACATTTCACAGCTATGGTCTCTCTCCCACATTATGTCACTTGATACCAACTACAAAAGGGGCTACTCGTAAACCCTCCTGGGTACAAAGAGGACAATGTGTAAAGTAAAGGACCCTCTTAAAACTCGCCAGAGGTGAGGCGAACATATAAGAATCTAGTCCCGCATTTTTACAGACCAATTGGCCCTTGATGTGATCAACATCTCACCAGCCACCTTGAGTCGCAGGGACAGTATCTGGTACCCATTTTAGGCTGAGCCAACCTGGCAGCAAAGGAAATTGTAATAAAGATTGACATATTAAACTTTGAGTCCCAGGGGGTTTAACATCACAGGCCCAAGGGGTAGTCAAGAGAGAAGTAAAATTGGCGCATCATGCTTTTATTGGGACTCTAGGTAGGAATCTCTGATGTATGATGCGTTCCTTGGGAATCAAAGAGTTAAGCGATGCGGTCAGTGTCATCCTGCCAGACACAGACTTCTTTGAAGAACTTAGGGTATCTATTTGTGGACAAGGGCTATCTAGGAATCACATGGTCAGGACAAAATCTATCTAGGAAAGAATTTGAACTCAGGCTCACTGGTTTCGAAAAGGGGGAGGGGGCACTATCCTATACAGCTTCCTTTCTATTTTAAATGTACAGGAAAGTGCACCAATTTAAAAGGAAAAGCTGCACCCTAGCATGTATACCACACCTTTTAACAAATACTTCACTCTTAAGTACAAACTTTAAGCTTTACAATGGAGATCTAACTCTTATCATATATACAGAACTTTTCAATGTATATTTCTCACCTTTGCAAATATACCATTCTTCAATAGTGTATTTCATGCCCAAGTAATACTCTAAGCTCTTTGTTGGCTACTGAAAAGGGGGATGGTGCATGTGTGGGAATGCACCGAGTGCAGTGATGTCAATCCATCATTCATTCATAAGCTCTTTAACAGACATTTTGCACCTTAGTATCCGACAGCTTTCAATACATTTTTCACCTTATTATACCGTCAACACTTTTCAACAGATGTTTCTCGCTTAGTATACATCCCACATTATGAGATCTTTAATTGATATGGCCTGAATTGTGGTTGGTGGGCATAATAAAAATTTACGTTATGCTAATGACACAGTCTTGATAGCAACAAGTCAGAAAGAACTACAGAAAATGAGAGACATTGTGGTGTTAGAAAGTGGAAGAATGGGCCTCAGTTTGAATAATGGGAAGACAGAAGTAATGGTGGTATCAAAGAAAATAATTATTCTTAAATGTGTAATAAAAGTTGATGGTGTTATTTTGGGACAAGTACAGAAATTTAAGTATCTGGGCACATGGATAACATCAGATGGAGGATGCATAACTACGATAAAAAACAGAATAGGACAGGCAAAAACTGCATTTGAAAAAATGAAGAACATCTTGTGCAATATATCCTTGTCACTGAGAGTTAGAAAAAGAATTTTTGCTTGCTACATACATCCAGTTTCAACATATGGCTGTGAATCCTGCACAATCGGTAGGCAGGTCCATTTCTTGAGGCCTCAGAGATATGGTTTTAACAGAAGAATGCTTAGAATACCTTGGACATTCAAAATGAGCAACCATGAGGTTTTGAAAGAGGCGGGGACCGAAGACAACTTATCACAGACATTAGAAGGAGACAGTCATCATTTTTCGGCCATGTTATGAGAAGAGGGAAAATAGAACATGTTGTGACCACTAGAAAGATCTGTGGAAGGAGGGATAGAGGAAGACAACTAGAAAAGATTCTTGACAGTCTTGCTGCATGGCATGGAGGTGTGTCGGCACACGAACTGATAAATGCTGCAGGAGATCGCAGATTGTACTGTGGAGAGGCATGATCGCCCATGCCAGTCGGCAAGGCACCTGATGATGATACATCCCACAGCTTTAAATATATTTTCCAACCTTTGAATACATACCACACTTTTCAACAGATTTTTTTCATACCTAATAATAATAATAAAACTCCACACGGGAGAATACACAGCAGGAGTCTACCGGTCATCAGTAGAAGATCCTACGTTGGCAATTATTTCAGCCCGTTACCGTCCTAAACAATCTCGGAAGGTGGGCCAACCTGGGTCATGACGCCAGGCCCCAGTATCTCCTGCTGTGCTTAATCGAAAACTACAGATGAGACAAAGGTGATTCAATATAATACTCTAGGCTTTACAACAGGCTTTACCCTACCACACCTACACAACATAGAGTAGAAACATCTAACCCTAGCAAATATATTACTGGCTTTACAATAACAACTGTGTGCTCTAGCATATACACAAAGCTTTTCATTATAAACATTTTGGGTTTTGGATATAACAGAAATAAAAAGCAGTAAATATGCAGCAGATTAAAAACAAAACAACTCTGATCCTGTTATCTGTACGTCTCTAAGACATGGCAGGCTATAGTATGCAACTTCTGCTGCAAATATATAATATTTCTATTATCTCTCTTTTTTATTAACCAGCTAACAACATCAAATTGTGTTCAACTTACCTACTTCTATGGTCTTTCTCTCTTAAATTATGTCACTATCTATATATTATTAACACTATCAACAAGTGAAAACTATATTAAAAACACCTTAGTGCTATGGTATCTCTCCTTCATTATGTCAATTAACACCGTCAACATGTGTGAAAACTAAATAACAAACACATTAGTGCTATGGTATCTCTTCTCTATTATGTTGCTTAACATCATCAAAATGTGTGAAAACTACATTACAAACACCTCACTGATTGGTATCTCTTTCTTGAATTATGCTGCTTAACATCATCAAAATGTGTGAAACCTACATTACAAACACCTCACTGCTATGGTATATCTCTTGCATTATGTCACCTTATGTGAAACCTACATAACAAACATAACATATCAATTGTTCTCCTCCTCCTTTATGTCACCTAAAACCATCAATTTCTGTAAAACCAACATCACAAACACCTCTCCTGTAAGGATTCTTTCATACATTAGAACAGCTTTGATCATCAAGTTGTGTAAAAGCTAATTTACAAACATCACACTTCTTATGGTTTCTAGCCTTTTTTTTTCCAAATGATTGTTTTAAATTTTTCTTTCAAGAGATTGCGGCCTGAAAGACTGACATATTGTAACTCAAACAGTCACTATAGGGATTGGAAGCCAACAGGAAAAATCCCTGAAACCCTGTTCAACCATACAAAACAATTACACTGGAGCATCCAGCAGTTACAGAATAGCCTGTTGCCAAATGTGGCTGGGATAGTAGCTCAGATAATCACATTCTATAAGACCTACATTGTAAACTATGCTCTGCTATGGTCTCTCTCTTGTCACTGCTATAGTTTCTCTCTTTTCACCTCTATGGTTTCTATCCTGTAACTTCTATGGTTTGTTTCCTTTCACTTCTACGGTTTCTATTCTTTCACTTGTATGGTTTCTCTCCTGTCACTGCTATGGTTTCTCTCCTGTCACATCTATGGTTTCTCTCTTGTCACATCTAGTTTCTCTCCTGTCACTTCTATGGTTTCTCTCCTGTCACTTCTATGGTTTTTCTCCTGTCACTGGTATGGTTTCTCTCCTGTCACTTCTATGGTTTTTCTCCTGTCACTGCTATGGTTTCTCTCCTGCATTATGCCTGCTCAGATCACTAGGCTGTGTAAAACCTATATTACAAACATCACATTGTATGGTTTCTTTCTAGCCTACTATATTAGTTTAAACAGAACGCACAGTGCAATTCACTGTATCTAGGATTACTGCCACAACGCTAGCTAATTTATATGTATGTAGTATCACATGTGATGGACCACATACACTGGAGAAACCATTATATATAAGAAATACATATAATATACTATTTAAAAATATAAGTGTGTATATTACTAACATATATATATACACACACACACACATTATGTACATTTGGTCTAGAATTCAATAATGATACAGATTTATTATGGCCAAAACAAAAATTCCATTCGTGAAGAAAGGTATGCTGTCCATGAAGAAAGGTATGCTGTCCACGAAGAAAGGTATGCTGTCCATGAAGAAAGGTATGCCATCCATAAAGAAAGGTATGCCATCCATGAAGAAAGGCATCTCATCCAAACAGGTACCATTCATCTATGATATGGCAAAACTGTCACATTCGCCCAGTCAGCACAGGACAAGTACCCCGCAAATTTTGTTTAGCTAGTGAAAGTTGCATTGTGACAGATGAAGCCAAGGGTGAACAATAATTCTGTTTCAAACTCAGAAAAGTGCTATTTTATCTCTCCCCTCCAGGACTGCCAAATAAAGACTTGCCACCCAAAGACTCAAGGAACCACTTTTTAGATGGCAATCTAAATGGGAACCTACTCTATAAAAACTGTTTAACTGTACAAAAGTATGAAACTACCTGCTGGAAGGAAAGGTAACTCTTAAGAGTAGTAAAATCTTAAGGTAAATAAATCTTATCTTATAAATACAAAGAACTATTATGCTCACACTCATTCACAAGGTCTTCACACGCTTGTGCGCATATAAACATACCCACACATAAAGGCAGACACATATGCTCACAACAAATATTAGGAAAAATGTGTCAAACTATCAGCGGAAATAAAATTCATGCCAAACCTGTCTCTACCATACCAGAAGTGTTTTCTTCAGTGCAAGCAGTGTCTCCTTCATGCCACAGATGTCTCCCAGACATAAAAGAGCCAAGTGACTTGTCATCAAACATCACCTTAACTAGCATTATTTTTGGCCACATTCTTCAGGTTTTCCATGATTTTCAACTCTTTTTCCTCTTTTCTCCTGTTTCTTTCCTCATACTCCAACCTAGTTAAGAGAAAAACATTTAAATAATCAATGATCATATTTAACAAATAAGTCAACACAAGAAGACATTAAGCAGGACAAATGTGTTTTTTCCCCAGTGAGCATGGATCCTTTTCATACCAGCGTAACATCGGCTATATGACTGACTGTTTGAGCGGTTCATTCCCTACCCACAGGTCCGTCACACCATCCTGAGACTAAGAAATCTCAATCTGGACGGCACACCAAGGAAGATCCGAGATACCCTGTTCAACCACTAACAGAAGTAATAATTTGGGTACCCTACGACAGCTTAACCAGCCAGGTGCAAACTAAGAACGCTCCCTCCTCCACCATATCTTCAACGCATCAGGTTTATTCTATATGACCGTCTCTCTCTACGCAGAATTTCTAGAAGCCTGCTTAAATCATTGCACAAAGCACAAGCTTTACAGCTTCAGCGATGATTCTCTGTACAAATTTCACTCATGATTCAAATGATGCAGTCCGCAAAATGAACCCAGGACATGCTGAGAATGAGGAATGTCAAATTAAGAATCAACATTATAGCACTCAGGACACCCCCACAGGCACTCCGACCCCATCTTCAGCAGCAAGTGAAGAGTTAAAATTCCTATGGTACCAGTGACTGTCTGACTGTACATCCTTTTCACCTTTCCCTAGATCCCCTGGTAACTCCCTGCAGCACCATTCTCCTCAGACCATAATGATCTTTTTTGTGCCTCCTCACTTTTCACCTGCTCCCAAAGGGCCCTCACAACATCTAGCTTGCCATTCATCAATTCACGAGAACTGCCCAGTCCGTCTGCCTGCTCATTTCCCAACACACCAGCATAGCCTGGAGAAAATATTCAAAGAATGCTAACTACCCAGGATCTCTGAAGTGATACTTGCCACTCTGCACAGAGCTGCCTGTCTCCACCTTTCTCAACATACGATGTGAGTCAGTTACAATTATGACATTGTGTACAGCTGATTCTCAAGCCAGTGGAAGACAATTATGACATTGTGTACAGATGATTCTCAAGCCAGTGGAAGACAATTATGAAATTGTGTACAGCTGATTCTCAAGCCAGTGGAAGACAATTATGACATTGTGTACAGCTGATTCTCAAGCCAGTGGAAGACTGCATTGACTGCCACCACCTCCATTCTAAAACTAGAATGAGGCAAAGAGACTGAACACTTTGCCAGCTGGTAGAAGAAAAAGAATGTGGTGATCAGCAAACTAATGCTCAACACACTCACCTGTGTTTGATGATTCTTTCGATAATCATCTGTGTTGTCAGATCATTTTTACTGTCAATTGTCATGAACTTGCCAAGGCGCTTGGGTTCCTGAAACAGAGCCAACATTTAGAAATATCTTAAATCTTCTTCTTGGCGCTCACCAGCTGTAAACAGATGGCCGAAAGTTCTGGTTGTTTGTCCACTTCTGGATTTTAGTCTTGTTCAAGAATTTCAGTTTTGCGTGCATATCCATGTTAGAGATCTGGCTTATTTTTATGCCGACTGTTAGTGCCTCACCAATCAGGGAGATGCATTCCGACCTTGAAGGAAAATATGAAATGACCTGGTAACCTGGTGATGCTTGTGGATATGCCCTGATCTTCCTGGTTGACAAGGCTCAGGTCAAGAGCATGTTAGTATTATGCGCACACATTTGGGTGTGGAGGGCAATGATCAGGCTGACAGAATAGCTGGGCTGCAAGCTATTTCATACTAAAGCAGACAAAGTGAATTAAAAAAGACAGCATAACAAAACTGAGGATCCATACTTGGAGAGGCTGATTAGCTGGAAATGAGCAGAGGATGTGGACAATTTCAACATGCAGGGAAAAAGACAGGCAGGTTTTAATTAGGTTACAGTGCATCATAGTATGGCTACTGAGGAAGGAGATGGGGCATGTGTGGGTATGTCCATTCTCTGTGTATATCTGCCTATGCTTTACCGTGTGTTTCTGTTTCTATGTTAATGTGTTGAGACAGCCTCAATCCCCATTCTCAAGAGGAATAAGTCACAAGTGATGATGACCATTCTTTCTTTCATTCATCATGATAGAGATGACTTATGAGCCCAGTACATGCCTGGAAGGATCTAGAGCAATGGAGGCTGGGAACAGTGTCTGTAGGCAAAGGGCCTGTTATATGTGTCCTTCTAGCCTGTCTTCGCTTTTCTGCTGCCCTTTTTTTCTAGATGTCTTCGGATTGTCATTCGCAATACAGTCCGGTCTTGTGCAGCAGCCTCCCAGGTCTCAGAGTTTATACAGAAGGCTTTGAGCAACGACTTTTGTGTGTCCTTGAAGCATTTTTTGTGTGGCCACCATGAGCATGTCTACCTTCTGGTAACTTAGAGGATTAAGTATAAACGAACAAACTCGACAGCTAAAAATATACTGTTTCTAGAAAAAAAATCTTATAATTTTTTACAGGATCTTTTTTCTGGAATTCCATTGGGGTCATGACCCATTTATGTTGGGAATGTTTACAGGGTGAGAGCCTCAATGTGCTGTAACAAAATCAATTCCCCATTCTCAAGATGAATAAGTATAGAAGAACAGACAAGACATGCTTGACAAATAAAAATATATTGTTTCCAGACAAACTCAGATCACTTACATGAAAGCAAACAAAACAACTTTAAAGCACAAACAAAACATGAAATCAAACAAAACAACATGAATGCAAATAAAATAAACATGAAAGCAAACAACATGAAAGCACAAACAAAACATGAAAGCAAACAAAACAACTTTAAAGCAAAAACAAAACATGAAAGCACAAACAAAACATGAAAGCAAACAAAACAACATGAATGAAAAACAAAATTAACATGAAAGCAAAGAAAACAACGTGAAAGCACAAACAAGACAGCTTGAAAGCAAACAAAACAACATTTTCGCACTTACTGCATACGGATCAGAGCCATCGACATCAGGCATAACTGGAGTCATTCCGTGACAAACAAGATCCACCTGCACATAGAAACTTTCTGTAATTACTCTGTGGTTTGGAAGATGATATATTCAAACCTGGGTGTTAACCCTTTTAAAAAGAAAGAATCTTAAAATATAACGTTTCCCAAATTTTGTTAAAAAGAAACAAGTTATAATTCTCCTAAACTCAACCCTTAAAAGAAACAAGTTATAATTCTCCTAAACTCGACCCTTAAAAAAACAAAAACAACAGATGAAGAGAAGAAGAAGCAGAAGAAATTTGCAGTTCTGGTCAATATTTAGAAAAGATATAAAACCGAACGAAAAGTATATTAGCAAGCTTCACAATATAACAAATACAAACAAAACGTGAACCTTGCACCCTTCATCAGCACATACAAATTAAACAATACTATATAGATACACAAAATCACTTAGCTGGTATCTAGATGCAGCCTGGTCGGTTGTTAGCAGAATGACTACACGTTTAGGCTGGGGGAATAAATACCCCCTGTGGAGTACCAGGGGCCATAACTGGGGTGCTGGGGTTGAAACTGTGAGGGCAATGGACCCTGAAATTTCGCTACAAATCTCTGAAATTTTAGCGGAAATTAGAGCTCTCCGCAAAGAAAAGTCCGACACCGACACTGACAGAACGCAGATGCTAGACCTGATCTCGCAGATGCGTGACGAAATCAAAGCACTGAAAGACGACAGACAAGAACAATTATCACAGCAAACAAAGTTGCTAGCTGAAATCAGGGCTCTCTGCAAAGAAAAATCGGACGCCACCAACACCGACGCTGACAGAACGCAGTTGCTAGACATGATCTCGCAGACGCGTGACGAAATAAAAGCCCTGAAAGACGACAGAGAAGAACAAGTCCTGCAGCAAACAAAGTGGCTTGCAGAGGCTACACAAATGCAGAAAAACCTGAAAGAAATGACAATAAAATTGCAAGCAGAAAAAGCTGCAGACGAGACCCGCCGACAAGAAGAAAGGGAGGAGAGAAGAAAAGAAACCGAAACACTCAAGGAAGCCCGAGAAAGCACCTATAAAGAAGTCGCCCTCATGATCCAAGCAAAGGCAGGGGCCGAAACTGCAGTGCTGGCGGCAAGAACAGAGCGCGCCCTGCTTGAGAAAGAAAGAGAGGCTTCCATGAAAGCTGTAAAGCAACCGATTATCAACAAAGCCGACAAAAGCACAGCTACCGAGACAGTAATGACACAACACCAGGCACAGATGACAGATACCGCGACAATCGAAGAACGAAGCGAGGCACCCGTCAGACTGCCAGCCACCCCACGCGTGAGCCAAACAGCAGCAGCCAAAATAACTAGCTTTGACGACCTTAAAGCGAGGGTTGAAGAGTACAACAAGCTGGCGGCTCCGCACACGCTGGAGTATTTCGACGAGGTCGACCACTACGTTGTCGGCTACTCTTTCGAGGAATACGGAGATGAAGGCGAAACACCTGAACTGCTTGAAAAGAGCAATAGAGCTGGCCGACTCTGCGACGAGTTAAACGCAGCCCTAGACCAGCTCCGGGCTCCAAAGAAAAAACAGAACAGAAGAGGCAACCGCCAATTCTAAAAGAGCCGCAGAAAGAGCCCACCGAATAAGCCGCCATCTTTACGGACAGCCTAAAACACAACAACCAACAACTGGACGGCGTGTCGACGTACCGGAGCCACTCCCACCCGATCCGCCCACTGGCAAAAAATTATGTAATCACCATTGCACTAACCAAAATCTTAATCTAGTTTATTTTCAGAAAAAAGAAGACAACGGAAAATACCACAGGCCGCCCGACGCCCCGAAGCAGACAGCCGAGGGCATTGCACCTAAGGGGACCAGCACTTGGGAACTCCAGTCACCATCATGCCACCTCGCCCCACCCCACGTGTACGTTAATAAATGCATTTCTATTGTATTTCAGACCTAGTGACCTCAGCCGACCAGGGTGGATACTGCCTCTATCTGTCACTCTCATTCTCCCGACCTCACTATCACATCTACTGGCACATTCGGGCAAAATGACCTCTCATTTGCAATCTATCTTACCTCCACTACTTCTCCACACTCCGTGGAAAAAAAAAAAAAAAAAAAAAAAAAAAAAAAAAAAAAAAAAAAAAAAATTTTTTGTTTTTTTTTGGGCCGATCACAACAACAGATTGTGACGGCCCTGGTTGTCCTGAAAAGGAACATTGTTTGTATCGATGGAGCAACGGATATTTGTTTGGCTTTTTCCGGCGGCTTTTAGATCGGCAACCAAGCAGCAACAGGGCACCAGCACAGCGACCAGCACGAGGCAAACCAAGCACCAGCAACAGTCAGCTAGTACCCTTCAATATCATCGCAAAGAGATCTGGATCACACCAGAACCCAAAACCGCAAACAACGCAGCACAGCAAGGAAGCAAACAACAATAATATCAGGTGTGTCTACACACCACAAATAAAAGGAAACCATATAAGACAGCAAAGGACCCTTCTTCGATATAGCAGGCCCTCGGGCGGCTGAAAGAGGATCAAGTTTGGAATTTTTCTTGGACAACTGGCAATGGCAGTAGAAAGTAATCATTAAAATAAAAATGGAGTAAAGAATTAAGGGCTTTTCACCCCCACTGATGATGAAAATCTATTTTGTAGACATAGCTGCTTGCAGCAAAGTGATAACATCAATATGTGGAATTATGATGTCACAGTGACCTCACAGTGACTTTAAAAAAAAAGTAAATAAATCACCCCAAAAATATATAAAATTACTCCTTTAAAAAAATAATACCCAACATGTTATCACACGCCGAAATGACGCAAGCGGTACAAAGCTGTTATATAGGTGTAGTGACCATTGCCCAAAGACATAAGGTGATCAAAAACCCGTAAAGGTCGGAAAACCGACTATCTCTCAAGGGTTAAGAATGTAGGAAATTGGGCAATAATTCTTCTACATTCACCTGGCTGTAAACTCAAAGTCCTGGTTGCTTGTCCATGTCTGGACACAGGTCTTGCATGCCCATCTGTTTTATAGATCTGGCTTATTTGTGTGTGCAATGTCTCAGGCAAATGCACTTTGACTCCAAAAGAAATGACAATCATTACAAAACTGGACAGGCCCCTACTAGAGAATCTTGTTCCAGGGTGACTAGGCAGAGGTGTGAAAGAATCTTGACCAGTATCATCCCTGGTTCTGGTCTACCACTGAATTTTTTTTTTAAATATCCAGAAACCATGAGATTTTAACCCTTAAGCTCGGTAGTATGGATATCGCAACCCTTTGGCCTTGATTCCATGATAAATACAGTAAATCTGGGAGAAATGTGGCTTTTCTGCCTACCCCTGGGCGTAAACCCGGACAAGGAATTCGTCACCTGGTCATCGCGAAGTCAGGTTTAGCCAACTACACTAGCGAGCCGGGCCTACCACGGCATATGGTGGTACACCTCTGTCTCTCAAATGAGAAAAATGTCCTATGTGAATTCCAATGCTCTAGTATGAGGTGAAAAGAACAGATCCACTGCCCTTATTAACCATGCCGTAAAAAGCGATAATCATGGGAGTTTCCTTCAAAGTCAGAGTGCATCTGCCTGAGAGGCGAGGAACCAACAGTCTGCATATAAATAAGCCAGATCTGTAAAAAGGATTTACAAGCAAAACTCAAATTTTGGAACAAGACCAAAGTCCAGAAATGGATGAACATCCAGAACCTTCTACTAGAGTTTACATTCAGGGAACACTAAAAGAAGAAATTATAAAATAAACAGTGACACACATGTTAGCAGAGGTATTATTAAAGCACTCAATACTATACAGATGTCACAATAACTAACTGAATCCAAAGCAGTTGTTACTCTAATTTAAAAACAAATCATCATCAAAAATTGTTCTCTTCTGCACTTGCCCTTAAACTGGTAGTTGATGTGATGTGCTTTAAAAACAGGCTGTGATATCTGCTATTTTTTTGGTCCTTCTTCTTCTTCTTAGTAATGTCTGCACAGGTAGAAGGTATGTTATCATAGTAGGAGTGCTGATGAGATTGGTAATGTTTGACGGGGTATAAGGTATGTTATTATAGAGGGAATGTTTCCTGTGATAGTTAGTGAAAACATGGGTGACTGCAGTCAGGCTGATTCCAAGAAATTATTGAACTAAACTGTAACTAAGCTGCTTAACAAATGGGAGGGTAAGGTAAAAAAAAAAGAGGGGGGGGGGGGGGGAAGAACAAAGTACACATACAAAACAAAAAAAGACATTCTGGTCAGAGCCATTCTCAACATAAACCACAAGGGAAGATTATGCTCATCCATACAATAAGCTTTTTAGTCGCAGTTTAGTGTTCTGACTGGTAATAACCCATATGGGTTCCAGGGTCCGAATGTGGGGAACAACAAGAATAGACCCACTGCCTCCCCAACAAGCATGTCGTAGGAAAAGGCTAACTGGGTGCCACCTCCAAAGTCAGAGCACATCTGCCCAAGGAGCAAGAAACCAAAAGTCTGCAAACAAATAAGCCAGATCCGTGACACTGATGTGCACGCAAAACTCAGTTTCTTGAACAAGACTACTATGTCTGGAGGTAGATGGACACCCAGAACTTTTTGCCCGAGTTTACAGCTGCTGAACGTGAAGAAGAAGAGGAAGTAGAAGAAAAAGAAGAAGAAGCAGAAGAAGAAGGAGACTGGTAACTTTTGCTACAGAGTGAGTATGCTATCAGAAGTAACAAAGTTCTGTGAGGTTGTGGTAATGTCTGCTGGGGATTGTGTATATTATCATAGATTAACAATACCTCTGCAGAATTGCCAGACTCACCTTGAAATGCTCCATGAGGTCAGGGGTCACAGAGTAAGGAGCACCAATCACAACCTCCGAGACATACTGAATAACAAAAACGGTAGCAAAAGATGGTAGCATTTCACTTTGGTATAAATAAACAGATAAATTTTACATTAATGGATTATTAATATTTACTATTTAAACAAAACACATTATGACACTCTATTCAAACTAGAAGATGCTCAGTGGACAATGATGAGAACCACAAAAATCTCTCAAAATCCTGTGTTACCACTCCCATATCTGTTAATCAATGAGAGACGAGACTTAACAATATACTCAAAACCTTCTTCTTATACTTTATGTCAGGTGGTGTTGGTGTTGAGAAGTGATAAGCAGGGTGTATCACTTTCTAACCAAGTGTCTAAATGTGACTGATTTTTGCCTCACTCATATATGCAAAAGTTCTCTAAGCTGACCTCCTGGCAACTCCCTGAGTGCTAAATTAAGACACTTCACATCATACCCTTAACACTGATAACAGTCAGCAGCCAACCACATCAACAGTACACGAAGAGTCATCTCTATAATCGTGCATCAGTCTATTTATTGGGACGAAACACATTATGACAATGAAAATGAACTAGTGATACAGGACGACTGTCAATCTAATGCTCCACCTATACACACTGATATGCTTCCAAGGCGGTGTCACTTGAAAGGGAACACCTAGTCTCAACTTGACTTTGAGTCCACAACACATGCCTTCGGCCTACGGGCCGGCCATTGGGGTCATAGATAGCCCTAATGAACACTTTGGTTATGTGCTCACACTTTGGGTCACCAATAACCTATACATAATAACTGATTAGAGACTCTGCCCCCGGCACACCAAGTCAAATCAAAATCCTGACAAGGGACGACACGGTCCTGTCCTCGCAGTTCAGCCACAACTCCCCGCCCGACTTCTGCCAATCATAATGGCAAATAACATGTTGGACCCTCAAGCCTTGCATAACAGAGCATTTTGACTCATACACCAAATTCTAAGGCACAAGCTAAACTTTCACTGGACTAAAATGATATGCATAATAACTGCTAAAAATTTAGACACTGTGACATGCGTCCGCCCTATCTGTGAATGACTGAAAGACACTAACCAGTTAGTAGTGTGAATTTCCCAAAACACCTCTTTCACAACTTTGTGCACATCGTGGACCTTTGCACTCGTCTCTCACCTCAGGCCACATGGACCCTTTGCCCACATCTCTTACCATCATCATCCCGCGCTGTTATGACTGGCGTAGGCGATCACGCCTCTGACCAGCCCAGTGAATTCAGCACTCAACAGTTGGTAGTCATGCATATCCACAACCTTCTGTCTATGTACTTTTAATCAATTCTGCCACAGATGATCTTCCCTGCCACGATGTCAAACTGTCCAGCATGATCTTTCTCGGTCTCCATCTATCTCTTTTCACTTCCGTTTCCACCGTCATGATGCACTCAAGTTTCCTCCTTCTCATGACATGGCCAAAGAATGTAGACTGTCTCCTCCTGGTATGAGAGGTCACTTCTCTTTGCAAGTTTTTTTTTAAAACATCTTCATTAATCTTTTAAACTATCCAGCTTTCTCTCATCCTTTATCTTCATGAATAAAGTCTACATGACAAAAAGGTCCTCTGAAATAAGACTCAAACTCAGACTCTCTACGCCCAAGACCAGGCAGCCCCTCCTCAGGGTAAGACCTGGTCACAGACTAGAGCCCTAATGTGGCTAACATTCCGAAGATCACCAGCTCTCTTTACAGACGCAGAGTTCCATTCGAGTCTTGCTGGTTGCTGGTCTTTAAAAAGGAATGGACAATTCTGCAACAATCCCAACTGAAATGGTATTTTTACATGGTACTGCGTTCAGAACCTTCTAGTCACAGATGCTCTTATGAAACAGCAAATTATTGGAATACATTTCCATGCCATGCAATAACCAGTAATCTCAACTGCATCCTTTTCTTACGCAATGGCAAATGATCTTGGTGTATTTGATACACAATCACAAACAATCCGAGTGTTCTGTCCATTACTGTCTTCTACACTTCCTCTGTTACCGCTTCAGGTGTCAAGAGAGATATAAGGTTCTGCTTCTTGCAGCCTCAACCATGGACATATCGTGCAGCTGCAGAGTTTCTCTGATGCTATATTTCTATTTTATTCTTGGTAAACCTTGTGCTCTTCATCCACCTCCAGTTTTGGTGTATGCAATGCATGGTAAGGCAACACAAGGCATTCTCTTTAAGTAGGCAAACCATTTAATTTACTATTTTTGTGTCTATTGTCTTCTTCACTTTTACCAGGTTGCAGCCTTGGGCATGGTTTAAAATATTTGTTTTGTGCCGCTCGCGTGATCTGAGTGACAGATTTCTGGATCTTCTGGCCGTATTCAGCTACTACATCTATCCATTTTTTCCTGGGTCTTCCTCTGGCCTTTCTTCCCGATGTTCTACTGTAAAAGGCCTTATAGGGAATCTGATCTGGTTGCATTCTTACTAAATGGCCAAACCACTTCATTCTCTGTCTTTTAATATGTTCCATGCATGCTCTTGTTCCAACTTTGTCTCTAATGCTGACGTTTGTGACTGTCTCTTCGTGTATTGACTATTTTTGTATGTAATTTAGAAATTGGTTTTGTGCCAGTTTGTTTTCTTATGACCTTATTCCTGATTTTATATTGTCTGATAACTCCTTCAGCTCTTCTCAGACATCATATTTCCATGATTACTAATTTTCTTTTATGGTTTGTTGTAAGTAACCACATCTGGCACTGGTAGCATAATGTTTGAATGAATATGCTTTGCAAGAAATGTTTCTTTGTGCTGATTGGGATTGTCCTGTATGGTAAAAGCAGGACTAGCTGTCCCAGTACTTGATTTGCTTTACTGCACAGGATGTTAATTTCTTAATTTAATTAAATCTGTTGATGCCCACTGCCTATATTTACCATTTTTTAGGCCAGTGTAAGGGAAAGGGAGTCGGGATGGGGAGGGGCCTGATTTAAGACCGCACGGCTACTGAAGTTGCCATCAACCGTGCAAACTAAAAATGTTTAATTCCGCCCCATATTGATATAATGTATCACAATCACAATTCTTCTTTGCGTTCACCAGCTGTAAACTCTGGTGGAAAGTTCTTGTGTTTTGTCCACTTCTGGACTGCAGTCCTGTTCCAGAACCTGAGTGTTGCATGTGCATCCGTTTGACAGATCTGACTAATTTGTATGCAGACTATTGGTCCCTTGCCTCTCAGGCAGATGCACTCCAACTTCAAAGGAAGTTCCCAATTAGTCGACTCTTACGACATACAATCAAAAATGATCCTCAGCACAATATTCTGTTTCATCTCGACTATTTCTCAATAACACATTTGTTGCTTGACCAGCTTTTCAATTCCTCCCAGAGAATAAACCAGGGTACCAAATAATACAAAAGTAGAACTAGGAAAACAACATGCGGCAAGAACTCAAATCAACACAAAAACAAGTCAGCCTCTTACCCTGCAAGCAAGCACACTCAGCGTTCTCTCGTGGAGGTTCATGATGGGATAGTTGGACCCCTTGTACCTGTTTACAACCTTGAAAAACAAACATTAGCAGTTAAAATCTAGCAAAGGTCTGCCAATAAAACAAAAACATTTTCTTCAACCTCTTCTCCCGTTTTTGTTCTCCTGTGTCAGAATCTGCCAATATAAACGACATACCAACACCTGGAGCAGGCCCATATATGGACCCCGTCTCTCTCTGAATAAAGATTTCTTTTTTAATTCTTCAATTACCAGGCAACACACCATGGATTCTGGGGTTTCATTGTGGGGAAAACAAAAACAGACCCACTGCCGACACACACACTGCATGTCGTAAAAGTCGACTAATCGGGAGTTTCTTAAGGAAGGAAAAACTAGTGCACACAAATAAGTTAGTAAAACAGCTTATGCTGGTGAAAATAGAAGAAGATTTTTAACTCATTTACATGTAGCAACTGTTAATCTAAATTAAGACACTGAATTAATAGCAGTCAGGACTGAAAGAGTTAAACAGAGCATATACTACAAATTTACTTTTAAAAATTGTTCCCGAAAATTATATAACTGCAAGTTAACTCTTACAACTCTAAGCAGCTGTGGTTAAAATAAAATGTGTCTATATGGATTTTAAAAAAGAAGAAGATAAATAAAAACTGTCATAGCACAACTCTGATCTTCTATTAATCCGGAACAATGCATATTTCACATGATAATAACAAACGGGTCAACAGTCCCCCCCCCCCCCCCCCCCCCCCCCCCCATGAAACAATTTATGACCAATGCACAAAAAATACAATAAAATAATTGATGACCAGTGCACATAAAATACAATAAAATAATTGATGACCAGTGCACACAAAATACAATAAAATAATTGATGACCAGTGCACACAAAATACAATAAAATAATTGATGACCAGTGCACACAAAATACAATAAAATAATTGATGACCAGTGCAAATAAACACAATCACTAAAATAATCACTACACCCAAAATGTCACAAACAACTTATGATGTCTACACAAGAAATAAAACCCTGAAACATGGAAAGATCAGTGCACAAAGGATGACATGACCACGTCTGCCAACTTACAGGATCAGTGTGAAGACCAACAATAAGGAAGTCACCTTGTGCAGCTGCCTTCTCCAAGAAGTCAACATGCCCAACATCTTCCAGTGTTAAGGAAAGTTCAGCTGAGAAACAAAATCATAGTACTCAGGGCATTCCCATGAGTGCTCCGTCCCCATCTTCAGCAGCCAGTGCAGAGTTTAAACCTTGATGGTGCCACTGGCAGACTTATTATACACAAGCTACTCCTAATCACCATCATGTGCCCTTGCCATAAGGGTAGGTTGTCATGTTCTGCCACCGCAAACAATGACCAACATCAAGGGCAGGTCAGTGTTCTTGTCTTGCCTCAGCCAAGCCATCTGGGTATTTATCTCTGCCTTCCCCTTGGTCTTGTTTTGCCTCAGCCAAGCCATCTGGGTATTTATCTCTGCCTTCCCCAGGGTCTTGTTTTGCCTCAGCCAAGCCATCTGGGTATTTATCTCTGCCTTCCCCTTGGTCTTGTTTTGCCTCAGCCAAGCCATCTGGGTATTTATCTCTGCCTTCCCCAGGGCCTTGTTTTGCCTCAGCCAAGCCATCTGGGTATTTATCTCTTTGTCTTCCCCATGGTCTTGTTTTGCCTCAGCACTACGGCCAAGCCATCTGGGTATTTATCTCTTTGCCTTCCCCTTGGTCCTTTGTCTTGCCTGAGCCAAGCCATTCTACATATTTATCTCTTTGCCTTCTCCTTGGTCCTTTATCTTGCCTGAGCCATGCAGCCAAGCCATTCTACGTATTTATCTCTTTGCCTTCCCATCATTCTTGCGACTTAAAGCCTCCAGAAAATCAACATTTCCATTCTGATAGTTGATCTCTCTGCCACCATCCCACACATGGATTTCACATAATCTCTGCAGCAAAGTGGCTAAGTCTTTAATCCTATTGCCTCACACTCTAAATAAAGGATATGTGTTCAATCATATTTTTTTTTTTAGAAAGGGGGAGATGTAGATGCTGGATCTTTGAAGTTTGTTCTTTGTGTGGTGAGACTCGGCCAAAATTGATAAAATCATGTGCAAGAAGATGAGTCACGCAAATTTAACCATCTTTAAAAAATGTTCCTCTAACTCTTTTCAAAATTATAAGTAAACAATTGTTGTAAAAGAATATGTAGAGCAAAATACTTTAGATATACAGAACTTCCTAGGACAGTCGTCAAGCTGTTTGGTTGTTTGTGTTCACTAGCCATAAACTCAGGCAGAAAGTCCTGGTTGTTTGTTCTTTTCTGGATTCAAGCTTTGTTCCAGGGCCTGAATTTTGCAGCTCTGATTTACTTGTATGCAGTCTGTTGGTTCCTTGCCTCTCAGGCACAGGCACTCCAGCTAAGGCAAAACATGCCTTCAGATGGACAATAGCTAGGTTAACCTACCCATGTATTGGTACTGCTCCAACCGAAACAAAAACCCATCAACCTGCTTTAGTATATTTAGTCTGTAGAAAAATAACTCACAATAGATGAGAAAGAATGCTTTGGACAGAGATGACCCGCTTCTTCTTCTACATTCAGCTTTAAAAGCAACGGGTGATCTGATGTAATCTAGTTTTCAGCAGACTGTAATATCGGTACATTTCAACTGAACAGATCTGATTTCAGGTTTTGTGGTTTAGAAGCAGTGAGTCTTTTCTTTTCCCACCAAAATTGGGTCCCCTCAACCCAGGGGCAAAGGAAATCAGCAAGGATACGAAACAAATCAAAAGCTCCGGCTACATATACTATCTTGTCTCCTGGTTTTGGTTCAATGCCCTCGGAGAACTGAATGATCTTCTTGGTTGTTGTCAGAAACTGGGAGACTCCAGTCCAAGGACTGCGGGTGGTCGGACCCTTTAAAGAAATCAAATAAGAAAACATTAAGGACAAGTACAAGAAATGTATGGCAACATCAAGTAGATATTTTAAACGTAAGAGGTGGAGCTCACAGTCTGAAAACTGAAGATCTGAGTTCAAGGCTGTATGCACGTGTGCATGTTTATTCATGTGTGTTGGTGTATGAGTGTGTGTCTGTGTGCATGTATGTGTTCATTCATGTGTGTGTAGTCTAAGTTTAAGGCATTTTGTTAAGTCATTAATTGGTGCAATACATGTTGTACACGCTGGTTTTAGTCAGTATTTGTTGAGATAAATGTTTTAGTCATTATTTGGTGACAATGTTGCAGTCATTATTTGGTGAGACAAATGTTGTCATTATCTGTTTAGATAAATGTTAAGTCATTCAGTTGTCAGAGTAGTAGTAGATTTTACCCCACTAGGGCATTACACAAGCGATAAACACCTATGCCAGAAAGTGCCACCATGTGGATGAGGATCACCTGTGGAGAGGTCCTGGAAACCGCGTACAGCCATTAGACCATATTTATGGTCGGGCTATATTGTGGCCGCTGGAAAGAGCCAGTGTAGGGCTTCAAAGTGACGACAAATTGCATCCCACAAAGGGATGGTAGTTAATTTCTATTAAGTTGTGAGATAAATGTGGTAGTCCTCATTTTGTTGAGATACAGCTGTCATTATCTGGTGAAGTCAAGGCGGTGTTAACAAAGAATAAATATAATAAAAGAGTATTCATTAATATCAGTGATATTATGTTTTCTGTTACTGGTTATTTCTCAAGACAATGTAACATGTGATTGAGGCAGCAAATTGCGCCATTACATAGGAATTTGCTACACCGCTGATCAAACAAGAATAACAAGGCTAGCAGAGGGAAGAGAGGAAACAAGAATAATTTAAAAAAAAAATAAAAATAATAGAACTAAACAAGAAGGGATTAGGAAACAAAAATAGCATTACGAAAACAATTGGCTAGATAAAAATGTATATATCTTTTCAAATGTCCTCCCTCTTATTGGCACATACATATGATTTACGCGAATCAGTGAATAAATCATGATCAATTTAATAAGTTATAAGAAAAATAAGTTAACAGTTACAAAACAAAAAATAGATGAAAATAGGCTGAACAAGAATCACTTAAAGTGTAGAGCTAGGCTGAAAGATAAACCCATACAAATTTTCAATATGGGGACGGCATCTGTCCGATTAAATAAAAACATACATTCTTTCTTTCTGTAGCATATAGTGACAATATCTCTTGCTCACTTATGTCATCAGGTGCCGCACACTTCTGAATCATTATATACCACAAGGGATTGCGTGTTTCAAAAGCAGAAGTACAAGCTTCCAATTCTGACTGCAGAAACTATAGTTAAGCAACTAAAGATGTTTCACACAAAAACTTCCAGTAAAGAAATAAACATTAAAAATTAATGTTTTCCCCAAAAACTGGATTCATGGTAAACATGGTCAATATGGATTGTAGGTGTGGGGATAAAGGTTGTGGGACATGGGAGTAGAATGATGATAACAAAATCAATACATTAAAGTTCCTGTGTGGATTCTCGGGCCATATTGTGGAGAAAACAAGAATAGACCCACTACCTCCCCAAAAAGCATACCATAAGAGTTGACTTATTGGGGGGTTATCTTTGAAGTCGGAGTACATCTGCCTGAGAGGCAAGGAACCAACAGTATGAATACAAATAAGTTAGATCTGTAAAATGGATGCACATGCAAGACTCAGGGTCTGGAACAAGTCTAAAGTCCAGAGGTGGATGAACAACACAAACTTTCCGCCGGAGTTTACAGCCGGTGAATGTGAAAAGAAGAATACATGAAAGGTTCTTGTATATTCAATAAGTTATACCATAAGCATATCCTCACCATGTGGGTTCAGTGGCCTCAATGTGGGAGGAGAGGGAGAGACCAGACTCCTGTCAAAAGATTTGACTAATTAGGGGTTTAATTCAAAGTCGGAGTGCACTTTTCTAAGAGGCAAGCAAGCAACAGCCTGCTTACAAATAAAGCCAGGTCTGTAAATCAAGTGTGCACGCAAAACTCCAGTTCTAAAACTACAGTAAAGTCCAGAAGTGCACAAACAACCAGAACTTTCCACCACCAGTTTATAGCCAGTGAACATGAAGAAGAGGGGGTCAATTCTGCATCTATGCAAAGCAGTATCTTCACTTTCCCTGACTGTCATAAATTGGTGCCCCAAACCAAAGTCATGGAAGTGCTGGCAACAGCAAATCACCACATTATCTTCCCCAAAAAACATGTTTACAAACAGGTCACAATAATGTAATGGAGCATGGATGGGTTCTGTGACCTTCCGCTGGGGGCAGGGGAATTAAACCACTACCCCTCTAACAAGTGTCATAAAAGTCGACTAACTAGGGGTGTTTTCTCTGAAGTCAGAGTGCTTAGTAACTAACAGAATGCACACAAAACAGTCAGATCTGTAAAAATAGATGTACATGCAAAACTCAGGTTTTGGAACAAGACTAAAGTCCACATGTGGACGAACAATGAGAAGAGTTTAGCTCCACTGAACACGAAGAAGAAGAAGTTCAAAAGATTCATACAATTTTTACCAGTCTTCAGACTGTTCAACTGAACATGACATGATATACCAGTCACTGGATCAATTTAACTGAATATCATGGCACAGATTATTCTTTATTTGATGAACATGGCATAAATGTATCTTTATTTAACATAAGATAGCATACATAAATTGTCTACCTTAATGTCAAATTATGAGGTTAGGAAAGGAACAAATGAAAAATATAATATAAAACAAGCATAAATGTGATCAATAAGCAGCTGATTACAATATATCATATCTGAGGTCAACTGCGTTATTTTATACTTAAGGCTATGTTATATGTTTATCCAATGTATAATAGAAATATATTTAGCAAATATTAAAATCCACTCATTTCTGGTACAGAGAGCTCAACACTTGTACTCAACATCAATATTCTTGTTGAAGTATAAATATCATAAACCTTTTCACCACGGAAACACTTTACAAAAGGCCGGAACCTGAAGCAATTCCCAATAAATCCTTACAAAACTAACTATTTAACACACACCATCAATAACTGTTTAAAATGTCTATTTATCTACATAAAAAAATGTTTCTATCAAAGCAGTCAATAAACATGAATACAGTGACGCAGGAAATAGAATACAATCCCAGGAGACTAAAAAAATATATCATGTGACTCACACGATGACCCTGTGACTCATTAGAATTCTACACTAAAGTTAAGAGGAAAAATTATATCAAACTGGCTTTAACAAAAATCTTGTTAATGGCTACACCCGCCGAAATCAGCTGGGAGCAGAACGCAGGTCTGGGACTTTGATGATCAAACAAATAGGTACATTCTTGTTCAGTAGACACCTTTAGCCTTGTTTTGACCGGACACTTAGCACAATAGTAAGGAACAAGAATGCATCAGGCATAACTTCCCCTATTTGGTCCTAACACTCTGGCAAGTGGGACCAACGGTAACGGACATCTGAACCTTTCTGCCGACCAGTATGACTTTTGACAGTCGGACATTTAAGACTTTGCTGATATGGCACAGGATTTGTATCTTCTTCTTCTTCTTCTTCTTCTGCGTTCATCCGAAGATGTAATTGTGTTGTGCCCGTTTACAGCATGGCTGCGATATTTGCACCTTTTAGCAACCACATCCGACTTCTGCGGGCACCTGTTATCCGGGTAAGCTTTCCTGGTGGATTTGTATCTAATGGACATGTGATTCTAATCAGGTGATTGACAGTGGCAGATTGTCATGATGTACCTCAACACAGTGATGACAGCACTGAGTGACAAAAAAAAAAGAATGCGCAGAGATAAGACTGTACGGCGAGATGCTGCCCGCAGGAGATGCTGGTCGTCTAAGCTGCGAGCAAATTTCTTGGTCTAGAGCTGAGTCTCAGCAGTTCTTTCACTCAACAGATGTTTAACCGAAGGTTTTCATTTAGCAGCATATTTGGCCCTTACTTATGTTCTTAATGAGTTTTGATAGGCATTTTCACCCATGCACTGGGCATTGCATCTCTGGGAAAAGGGGTGGGGGGAGGAGATAGGGTCACCAACTTCGAGATCCCCAGCCAGATCAGTAAATACTCATTTAAGCCACTATCTATGGTTCACGACTGGGACGTGCGGCAGGAGTCTTGTACGAGGATCCGTAAAAGAAGCTCACAGCAAGCTGGCATTCGAGGTGAGGTACGGAGTAACTCAATAAACACATCACAAGAGCCTTAACTCTTTCAGTTTGTAAAGGTTGTCGCTAATATCTGACTGTGGCAATAATGAAAGCAGCAAAATCATAGCTGTACTACATCCACAAGGACTAAATCCACAATCCTCGTATGAGACAGATGTGTTGTTGGAGGGCCTGAGTATGCCCTGACTAATTATAAAATGTGAGAACACACATACTTAAAGAGTTAACTCTTCCTCATGCCTGTGACCAAAATCACTGCGCCATAGTACAGACAGAATGTGTTTACAATATTGATTTCTTAATTCTGGGCAAAATGAACAGGAGTCGTTTTATACATGGGGTGTCTTGTATATGAAAAAAATATGGCAGTAACACTATTTGTAGAATGAGTTAAACATTTCTAAAATACTATAACAAGTGTCTGTGAGAAATGAGTATTGTCTTTGGACTACCTAAAGAACATGATCTTCTACTTCTTTGTTCACCAGCTGTAAGCTCTGCTTGTTCGTCCATTTGGACTTTGGCTTTGTGCCAGGGCCTGAGTTTTGTGTGTACGTCCATTTTACTGACTTATTTGTGTGCAGCTGGTTGTTCCTTGCCACTGGTGCAGATACACTCCAGCTTCAAAGGAAGACTCCAATAAGTCGACTCCTACAAAATGCTTGTTGGGAAGAACTGGGTCTATTCTTGTTTCCCCCCCCCCCCCCCAAAAAAATGGGGTCCTGGAACCCACACAGGAAGAACGTATTATGAGCTGGTATAGAAAGAGTTAAAAAAAATGGCTCATATGTTCAGGTTAGTAGAACATACTTTAAATCACTCTATTTTAAGTGTGGGTTCTGCGTCAGTTATTATGGGTAGGTGAGGAGGTCACCATCACACCACCCACCTTTACGCGGATTTGAACCCTGAACCTTTGGATGTCTAACCATTATGCTGACGTGGTGGCTCTCAGAATAACTAAGACAATATTTCAAGAATAACAAAGGCTAAAGACATATAATGTCAAGAAATTTAAAAAGTACAGCGATTATCAAACTGAACAAGATATGAATGCCTAAAACAGTACAATCAACTAGTTCAATATCATTAAGAAAAAAGTCAAGTACTTTTTGCCACATCTTCAGGTGTATAGGGTGTATAGGGTCTAGACTAGGGCTATTTAACTAAGTTAACTCAGAGGCCAAAATGTTGTACATGTGGATCATGACAAGCCAGAGGCCTACGCATAGCGGTTAGTTGCGTATCCTTTACAGGATGTTGCAGAACCATGTGTGGTTTTTCTAAGTAAATTTACGTCCAGTAGTTTGCCATTGCTTCCTGGACGGTCGGCTTTCTTGATACCACTGTCGAAACCAACGCAAGGCACATGGCCAGCAGCTGGGATCGAACCCGACATTACGAAGCGTTCGCATCGACTTAGCCACAGAGCCGACACCCCTGCATAGCAAGACCATTAATACAATACAACCGGCAAAAGACTCGGAGGCCACTTGCTAGGCCTAGGCAAGCCAGGTCTGACCCGCCAGCTGATTGGTCTAGACCTATATTTTGTAGACCAATAGGCACTCGGTGGGTGACGTGGTCAACATTATGCCGGCCGCCTTTACTTCCTAGGACTTTACCTGGCACTGTGATGACCCTGCTTTGACCCATGCTCACAGAAAGTCAAGCAGAAAATGACCGCACAGAAAGATACTTGGGGCTAGAAAGGTAAACGAGGGAAAGTCCAAGGTTGACTCATAGTCAGTTGTGTACCAGAGTCAGAAGACGACAGTCATGATGTCGTCACTGTAGTTTTAATTAAGTGTAGTTGACGTTGAGCAAATGATTATTGTGTCATGTTAGTGGAAGTGAACAGCGATGATTGCTTTTGAATAATTGTAAGGGAATAGCAGAATGTATACGGAAATCCAAGCGGCGCTTCAGTGTTGTCAATTGTAGAAAGCTGTATTTGTTCCAGAGTAAACGAGCCAAATTAGAAGTGACCCAGCTTTCTTACAGGTACTCATTTGAGATTGGAACAACCTGGGAGCCCCCCCCCCCCCCCCCCCCCAAACCTCAAATCAAAACCTTTCGGATCCACAAGCCAGTGTCAAATAGCTACATTACAGCTGCTCCCACTAAATAAGACAGTACACAGTAAACTACATGTCCAAGAAAAATGGCTTAAATTATAATCAACAAAAGTCAGCAGCGAGGACAAACAAAATATAAAGGCACAGCAGTCGTGGATAAATTACTAGGGCAAATAAAGAGGTAAAAATGGCCTAAATTAACTCACATCTCCTGTGATTAACATCTGAAAGACGTAACAAACATGGTTGGGCAACAATATTTTCAGGTTAACATTTCAAACCGATCTATGGGTTCCAGGATATATTCTGCACAATCACATATGTATAATTTCATCATCATTTTTGTTTTAAATTACCTCAGCGAAATGTTTGGGGTGATCTCTGTGCCCTTTCTATTGTGCTGTATGAGCTGATCATCATTTACCGTTGGTTGTTCTTGATGCCGTTGTTTCATGTTTTACATGGTCTTCCCAATCGATCAATCAGCATGTCCTTTACAGAACGCTTCTCTCATCACGGCATACCTGAAAGTTTCTCTAGCCACTTCTCCAGCTCCTCGTGCTTTCATAGCTTATACTGTATCCACATTTAGAGATGTTGGTCTCTACTTCATTTTCAAGAAACTGTAACCTACATCACAGTTTTCTCCAGGCCATCATGGTGCTGAACATGTCCAAAATACCTTAGCTTTCGGGAGAGGATGCTGTTTACGAGCCAGTACTGCTTGATATTCAAATCATGCAGGTTCAACGTTTTTCTTTCTCTTGGTCCAGGTTATTCTATGAAGGTTTCTGTAGCATTTCAATTCAAAAGCTCCAATTTTCTTCTTCAAAGACTAAGTAAGAGTTCAAAACACACATCAAAAAGTTTACAAGGAAAGATACATAATCTGAAAAAAAATGTTACTTCTACTTATTTGCAGGTGCTATGCCATAGGTCCTTTATGTTGTTTAGCCTCTGAAAGGTTAAAGCAAGTCTTTTTATTTCTTTTGTGCAGTCGCCACTATTGTTCATTACTGAGCCTGAATCTTCCAAATCTGTGACATTTTCAATTTTAGTGCATGGTGGTTGTTCTGCATTCGCTGGCAGAATAATAACAGCGAAAAACAGTTCTGAGATCTGCAACAGATTACATTAATTTAATCACCTAAAATGCCTTAATAAGGCAATGGCAGATTAACTGTTTGAATGACCCGGAGAATGACAACACATCATATATGCCAGCATATGAACACACACACCCAGATGACTGTCGCAACTGCACTATTAAACAACTGAACTCACCTTGCTGATGGCACCAACATGATGTTCATCAATAGCTTCCTCATCTCTCTGATGGTGAGTTTTTGTCACCAACAACATCCTAGAACATAAATTATATTGATGCACAAACTAACTATAGAAGCCACAGTAACACAACTACCAGTCCTGTGGTCACAGATTCAAATTCACATCAATGCATGTTTTTGTGTGTCTCCAGTATAATCGAAAGTTCTTCTTCTTCACTGTTCGCCCGAGTGATGTAAATGTATCATGCCTGTTTACATTAATGCTGCGATATTTGCGCCTTTTGGCAGACACATCTGACTTCTTCGGGAATGTGTTATTTGGGTTAGCCTTCCCAATCAATATTGGTGGAAATTTGTAGCCTCATAGATGTTGTGATTTGTCATTCTCTGGCCCGTAGTTGTTATCCCTAGCGGACCCTTCCAGGGCAGAATATAGGCATTCCCTGCCATCCAAGGAGGCATCTAAGTGAAAAAAGAACATAGACTTGATCTGAGACTTTGGTAACTGTGCAAGCGTGGCTGCCCAAGCCTACTGGTATGGCCCATCACCATGTCAAAACGTAGAATGTTTAAATATTTTAAGAAACACTCAGGTTCTGGAACTGGACTGCAGTCCAGAAGTGGACGAACAACCAGAACTTTCCCGCCGGAGTTACAGCTGGTTAACGCAAAGAATAAGAAGAATATAAGTAGTTCGCTTGTATGTTGCCTCAGCCTAGAAGGGAAGAAAGGAGAAGCTGGGAAAAAAAATATTTCTGCCACATTAAATGAGATGTCTTTTAAAAACTTTAAGTAGAGAAAAATCAAAGGCAAAAAAGTAAGAGGCAGACAACATCAAGAGATGGCTGAACAACAGTCTGAGAGAGTGTACCAACAAGCAAGTTAAAGATCCACTTTAGCCAACCTTCACTGTGGAGATGACACCTAACTGACTGATACACACACACATAGACAACGGCTTGTAACGCTGACCTAAGAAGTAAAAATTCTACAAACCTTCCAACGAGGTCAGTTGTTGACACACCAGCTGTCCGCTTACACTCCCTGCAAACACAAGGTGAAATGCTAGGCTATTACACCAGTCTACACACATTTTGATGTAAATTTTATAACTGTCAAGATTTTACTATCAACTCTAGTTTTTGAGGTAACTAAGAATTATCTTTTTAGTACAAGAATAAGGTAGAGTAAGGTGTCATCAGTGGCATTTAAACTTTAATCTGCATTCATATGTAATTACTGCACATTTACCACCTTCATATAAAACACCAAAAACGTATTAAAACTTTATCACCAGCATTTGTTTATCAACAGTCAACAATATAAAAAGCTTCTTTTCGAGGTCTTCCTGAAATATGATATGCTATGACAGCCAGGCTCAAGGCTCCAACAAAGTGAACTTCGGCACCTGGGTTTAACCAGAGGGTCTGGCCGGCTCACTACAGTCATAGGAAAGACAAGACAGACATATAACCAGATTGTGACTGGTACCATCAGTACTGGAACTCTGTGCTGGCTGCTGAAGATAAGGATGAAGTACAACACATGGAAATGCCCCGAGTGCTGTGATGTCAACTCTTGACTCAACTTAACTTCCTTTCATGATTATGTTATCAGAAGCTAAGCACCTGCCAGTCAATTTTCAGGGAAATTTTACGGGGAAAAAGTGGCAAGGCTGCAAAACAGGCCATTTTTTCTCACATTAGTACTTGTTACTTGCTGTCTGGATCAATATCTTAATACATCAATCCGACCCATTCATTCTCCCTCCTTCCATGCAGCAGCAATCTCAATGTGTCCATGCTCAACCTACCCAGTAAGAGTTGATTGGTATATCTTTCTTTGGCCCGCATCCTGTTTCTGCATGCTTGTCATTTCCAACAGGTGGTTCATCACTCCAACTCCTCTGTCTCAGTATGCCTGTCCTGTCTATACTTCTTCCTCCCCTAACCATTGCAGACTCGACCAGCCTGTCGGCTCTTTCATTTTTTTTCACCCCAACATATCCAGCCAAGACATGTTTTTGAGGTGGGACTTCTGGATGCTGTCAACTCATCGCCAGCTTGGATCTTCTTAAGCATTCTCACTGAGTCTGTTACTATCAATGTGCAATTTGCTTTCAGTTCTGCCATCTATGCAACCATTCCTGTGACATCTGTTATCTCCATCACCAAGCTAGAAGTAGTTGAACTGAATGCCTTTCTTCTTTTACTGTTTTCCCATTGACCTACGCTGTGTACGCCCACCCAGACTGCACCCCCACAAATCACTAAGCCATTTCAATAGATGATGCCAGTCAGCTAGCTGAATGTTTTCATTGATATGGGCACTTATTTTATCCTACTCATATTATGGCATAGAGCAGTGGTTCCGACTATTTTGACTTGCTGAGCGGCTTCAGCCTACTACATCCCATACGTTACAAGTTATTTTTGTGGAGAAGCATTGTTAAGGAGTGGATGAGGGGTTCAATAGCTAAAAATAATTTTTCAACTTCTAACAACTGAGATCTTTGCTTCGTTAACATAGTCACTCCTTTAAATACATTAGCCATTTTTAGCACTACTTTATTCTTTAAGACAGTCAGAGAGTAGATTTAGCCACGTCGTACTTCTTGGCGAGATCAGAAACACAAGCACCATTCTCATGTTTAGTTATTATTTCTGTACTTGTTTCTACTGTAATAAGCTTAGGCATCCTAGCACTACTGTCACTAACACTTTTCACTTTCTTTGGATCATAATGAGGGTTAATTTAAAGCAAAAATGGTATCAAGAACAACGCATCGGCAGAAGATGTTCATAATAAGCAAACCTGAATAAAACTGATGCTGTTCGTTAGCCCAATACATGGGGCCAAAGCCTGTTTGTGCGCAGCGGCACTGTTCACAGGCCAAGTCAAAATTTATTTGGAAATTTTGTTCATAGGCTGATTTGTTCCTGACTATAGGCGTCCGCTACCCGAGTGTCACCACCCTATTAAGTACAGTCAGTGTACCACACCGTAAGGTGTGCGCCCAGGGTTGACACAGAGGTCAGGGCCGTCACTGGTCAAGTCCGTTCTGTGATCGAAACCAGCGCTCAGGATAAAGCAAGAAAGCCTGAACTGTGTTGTGGACAAACACGATGACTGCTTTTAGGACTGAGCTGGTGAACGGGGTCAAGAGACACGAGGGAGAAGG